CTCTTGCAGTTAAAAAATCACTTAAAGATCATCGCATTAATGTAGAAGATGCCAAATTTTTGGTACAAGAATGCTTGAAGAGAAAAGCCCACGTTGTTTCTGAGTTAATGCCCTGCATTGATATTCTTGATAAGGCAAATGATTTTGAAAGTTTTTTCCAGTTTCTAAGCAAACATGATTTTATTGGGTACCTCAACTATAAGCTGCTAAAGAAATTATCTCAACTTGTCAATGATGACAGCCTCGACCAGCATTTTGTTCAATACGAAAAAGAATATGCAAGGTTACTAAGTGCAGCTTCCTTTCAAGATTTTATACCATTGTTCAGAAAGCAATCGGACTTATCTCCTACTGCTCCTCTTGGCTTACCTTATGTTTCCTTTCGTCTTGAAAGGCCTTGGTTGCTCACTAGTGTTTATACCTGGGTCTCAACTTTTGGTGAATTCTCATGGTCATACTATGCACTTCTTAAAGAGTTAAGAGAGAATTGCATTATCATCACTTATGCAATATTGCCATCTGTTCTTGATGAGGCCACAAGGGATCTTAAAGATCCAGTGATACTGAAAAAGCTAGAGAATAAAGGAGTTACTGTAATTGAATTACCAGAAGAAGAGGAAGGTGTGTTAATTGTAATATTATAATAATTTAAACAACATGTACAATGATACAACATATATGTTTGAAAATTTCACATTAACGCATATCAATAGTTTGAAATGTGCATGTAGAACCAATAAGCAGCTTTTTATATGGTATTTATGAAAGAATGTCAGTTTCTTTTTTGATAACTTTTTATCCATTAGATCCACAGATTGATGAATCCATAGAAAAGCCAGCCAAAGTATGTATGATTATGGAAATTACCAAGAGTTTTGGAATTACTACATACATTTATATTTTCTAGAAAATGAAAGTTGATACAAGTCCTTTATTTATGCAGTCAAAGACTGCATCAATTAAGAAAGCCATTGCTACCACAAGTACTACTGTGGTATGTGTAAAAAAATTTGCATATTTGTCACTATCATTATTGAAATTGCTCTTTTAGGACAAAGATATAGCTAATGCTACAAGGTCTCATGTGACACCTGGATTTGAGACTAAAGTATATGAGGTTAGGGAATTTTTTGTATGTGTATAATCAACTCATCATTGTCATTATTGTTTCATGTATAAAGATTATGATTTATACATGTGTGTATGATTATAATTTGAGGGTTTTAGTTTTCTTAACAGTGTAGACCATACTGTATAGCTGGAAAAGTTTGTAGGACTTATTATTTGCAATTTTTGTGCTAATAGAGCATAATGCTGAATTTTATTTCGGTGGTGTAGGTGGAAGCTGTTGATGCATCCATTAACTTGTCTATTAATGCTTTGTGGATTTAAATTGTGTGTTTTTATGATGAAAATCAAACAGCAAAATCAAATTTTAGCAAATATTTCCAGCTATACGGCATTAATTTTTTAAGGGGCAATTGGTTGTGTAAAAAACTTTATTCTTTTTTTGGCACAAAGTAACAGAGGTTTCTAGA